TCTGTTGTAGCTACTCAATTCTACAGCAGCCCCAGCAAGCATTCAGTGTGGAAATAACCTCCTCCAGAGACCTGATGACATCTAAGTGTCCACCCAAGGATGTCACCCAGCCCAAAGCAGTGCTGTGAAAACTTTGCCAGATCATCGTCACCACCTTTGGTGTCACTGTGCTCTACAGAGAAGAGGACTCAGCCTTCCTGGAGGAAGGAGACGCATGCAGACAGGCACGAGGTTTGGGTGTGGGAAGATGCAGTTCTCTCCAACGCCTTCTGTAGAGGGAGAAGAGAGCAGCACAAGTCTGAGAACAGGAGGACAGAAAGCCCCATCTCGGACCTAGTGAAAACAGACATTCTAGAGATCGGAGGAGAACTGCCAAGCCCTTCCTTGGCCTTCTGAGATTTGCAATCAGGAATTCAAAGTGAAAATCAGCCTCCTCTTTTTTATGATTGTTTTGTCTGTAATATTTTTCTGTCAGGTTTAGAAAATAAGGCAAATTGGATTCAACCACGTTTGGGCATTTTTCCTGGCAAACACCACAGAAGGGGCACAAGGGCTCCTGTGTGCAGAGGCGTGTCTGGGACACAGACTCCCAGCTAGGGAAAGAGGAAAGGGGCACGGACAGTCATGCGCTGCGCTTGCGAAAGGAGCCCTTGGCCAGTGTCTCCTAACGTTTTTATTTGTGTTTTATGGTGGTTAAACTGTTTGGTAGCTTTATTTTGGCTTTCCCCCTCTCCCCCGCTATGCAGAAATGTTTCTTTGTTTCATGTAGTCCCATTTATTTCTTCTTCCTTTGTGTATTCTGGGTTGTGTTTTTCTTAGGAATCCTCTAATGCAGAATTATGTTTGTCATGTTTTCTTCTAGTATTTTGTAATTTCCTTTGTCTAAATCATTAATCCATCTGGAATTTATTTTCAGATGAGAAATGAAGTAGTAATCTAACCCATTTCTCTCTGGTGTGCTTCCCAATGGCTGACCAGTTGTTCCAGCTCTGGTTTTTACCTAATGTATCCTTTGCCAGTATTCGGAAGGTCACCTTGATGGGACCCAACATTTTACCGCTACCCTCTTAGTGTTTTCCACTGGGCCCAAGGGTTAAATTGACAAAATACATACTTACAGAAAAAAATCATACACGTATATTTAGTATAAGTTTTATGTGACAGAGGCACCCTCACAAGGAAACAAAGACCCCAAGAAATACAGATGAGCTCTCAGAGTTGGACAAAGAGTCCTAAACTGTGGAAATATGGCAAGGCAGGAAGCTTGGACCCAAACAGCAAACCATGGAGGAGTCTAAAAGATGAGGGCTTCCCTGTACAGACGTCTCAGCCTTCACTCCCGTCCCTGGTGATGAGCGTGTCCCTTTCCCCTGGGAAAGGGAGGGCATCTTCCGTACGGGGCTTTGTCTCCTGCTTTGGGGAAGAAAAGGGGAGATCAGGGAGCCCTTCTTACACTGAGCTTACCAATGCCATCTGCAAACAGTAACTCTGACGCCAGAGCTGGGTACTTGGGTGGCACAGTCTCCCTCCCTTTGCTGGTCTGCTAGAGTCACACACTCGTCACCCTCTCTCCTGTCCTCCCCACCACCCGCTGCTCTGACCCCCAGGCGTAACCCAGGTGAGCGTGCCCTTCGGATGTCCCTCTCCTAGCTCTTCCTTTCAGGATTTCCCCAGCTTCTCTCACATGGGAAAGGTTCCTTTTAAGTTTAGAGTCAAATTGTCTGGATAACAAAACTATCCCTTTAAGTCTTGTTTTATTGTATTTCTGTTACATTTATAAATCAGTTGGAAACATTATGTCTTTATAATAATGAGGGCTACTCTTTATCTAACCACAACCTCTGTAGCTCTACATGTTTCTGATGGTTCACAATTCCGAGGCTGTTACGCTGACCCTTGGTAACAGCCCTGTGAAGCAGCCATCATCATCATCATCATGGTCATCATTCCCATTTTACAGATGAGATAAACTGCCCAGTTCCTATGACTATTCCAAAATGCAGCATGTCTTTCCATCTCAGACTCGTTTACTCTCCTTTAGTAGAATTTAAAGTTGCTTCATAGGAGTATTTTAATCGTGTTCTTCTGTTAAATGTTCTGGCTCATTTACAAAGAAGAAAATTGGGAGGGGTATTGTTATTAATTTATAAGCATTTGTTAAATTCTCTTAGAGATTCAAATGTATTTTGAGGTAGTTATTTTCCTTATAATAATTTAGAAGGCCTGTATTATGCCACTACAGCTTTAATAAAATAAATAGCTCTGTTAGCTCGCGCAGGGACCCAGCATAAAGGGCAGGGAAACAGTACCTCTGTATTCTGTCTCCCTCCCTTTCTTACATTCCACAACCAGTTTTGGTTGGTTTTGTTACGCAGCTTACTTCTCCTATGTAGCAGTTATCTTCCTCCTAGGTAATACTGTCCCACCTCTCTTCCTTGATCTTTCAACAGTATTTTCTGAACACTTTTCCATGCAGTAACGGTTTATATCTGTATGTTCCCCTAAAGCCTCATGCACTCACAGGTGGGGCATTTAGGAGGTAACTGAATCATAGGTGTGTGATACACAGCAGTGGGTTAGTGCACCAGTGATTTTACGGCTAAATGTGATGTTGGGAGGTGAAGCCTGGTGGGAGAAGTTAGGTTAGTGGAGCATGGCCTGGGAGGATCCATCTCCCTCCTCCTCCCTTGATCCCTTTCTGTGCTTCCTGCTGTCACACCAGGAGCAGTGCTCTCTGCTGCGCCACCCAGCCAGATGACTAGAGATTGGAACATCTACAAACTGTGACCCAGAATAAACTTCTACTTTAAGGTGTAGGAGTCAGGTATTATGTCTCAGCAATGAACAAGTAATTAAGATACATGAGAAAACCTACTTACCCACCTTCTTTCACCTCTCTCCTCCTTCCAATGTCTGTAGTTTTTCAGTTTTAAAATGTTATATTCTGTGCTATAAGTAGAATTCCCAAAAATAGTGATTTTTCTCCACAGATTCAATACTCTCTGCTAGTTATTTTAAAAAATAACACGTAACTACAGAAAAGTGCAGCAATCCTAAATTGATAGCGTGTGAATTTTCACAAAGCAAACGTACCCCAGGGGATCACAACCTGAGGAAAAATAGAAATGTCCTGCCCCGAAGCTCACTCAGGCCACGTGTCACTCACCGAAACGGATCCACTGTCTCACTGTGACTTTTCCATTCCTAGTTTAGTGTCCCATCACTCTCAAGAAAGGGTCTACTCCTTCAGTGATACAGGCGTGCATGTGCCTCCTGCCTTGCTGTGTGTGGATATTAATATAATTATATATTAACATATTATTAATATATTAATATCCAGCTTCCCTGGATATTAATTACTGTGCCCACTTCCTCCCCAGGATGCTGCACTTCCGTTTTGCACAGCATCCCCTGAAAATGTTGGAACTTGGCTTATGGTTTGGATCAAAAGTGTTCTCCAAGAGCCTCATCTACTCAAAGGCAGGGCTATGGGAGGGTGATTGTATCACAGAGGTGCTAAACTCCTCAATGGATTAATCTGACTAATACATCAGGCTAGTCTTGGGTTTTTTCCCCAGTGAATTACCTGACTTGGGGGTAGGAGATGGAGGAGGCCTGGGGGCTCTGAGTATTGTTCTTTATCTGGAAGTCCCAAACTTTTTCTACCAAACTAGGTCTAAACCCTGCTTTGTTCTGTAACATTTTTCCCCTGGGACACAATGAACCCAATCAAAATAGACATTTTGTATTTCAGTTTCCTTTTCTTCAATTAAGTGTTTGGACTTTTTCCCTTCTCCTTGTCTGCCCTCTCTTACAGAGTGTCACTTACACATATGTTGTACCTGGGCAGCCGTCGGTAGCGCCTTGGACCCTCAGCCATTTTCCATCTAAAAAGCAGATGTCCTTTTTAAACTGCTTGTCTCATTATGAGGACTTCAGCCTTTTCCTCCCTCTTCCAACGAGCCCCTCTCCACCTTACACCTTTCTAACTGCCTCTTATTTCCCTTTTCTCACTCTCTTCCTGTCATGCCCAGCACTTGGCATTTTTTCTTGTTCTCTGTATTTCCTCTAGATCAGGGGTTGGTAAACTATGCCCGGGGAGCTGCTATCTTCCTGAGTACAGTTTTAGTGGCCCACAGCCACGCCCATTCACTGACATCCTCCCTGGCTGCTCTTGTGCTACTACAGTGGACTTGAGGAGTTGCTACAAAGTCCACGTTTCATAAAGCCACAAATATCATGATGTGGCTCTGCAGAGAAAGTTCATGGATGTCCGTGCTAGACCATCACCCCCTTTCTTCTCTGGCTGCCGCCCCGACCACTCTGCTGGTGATCTCCAAGCCATGACTGCCGTGAGGTCTTTCTCCAGACACCTGCGCACATGGCTCCTCCACTTCAACGAGCCCCTTGCACCTGACACGCAACACAAACCAACCCTGCTTTACCTAGCCTGGGTCCCTGCCACCTTGCACATCCAACTAGGGACCCAGACAGGCAGACAAGGACTCTGTGAGGGTGATTTGACCTCAGCACTCCTGTGCTCCCCAGGACCTGCCCACTCACCAGGCTCTGCCTGTTCTCTCTCCCTCGCTGCTCTCCCAGCTGCTCATCGTCCCTTCCTCCTTCCCTGGCTGGCTGGGGCAGCACAGCAGGATGAGGAGTTGGGAGACCGGGGTTCCTGGTCAGCCCGGGCTCAGGTACTTCCAGCCGCTGCCCAGGGCATATTACCTAGGCCCAGGATCCTCATCTGCAGCAAAAGGCAGCAGTTCACATGTGCTTCTTGTGGGCAGATTGTATATTTCTTTTATGGTACCTTAGGTAGAGTGCTGTGGGGAGGGTAGCAAGGACTCTTCTCTCCTGCTGCTTCCTCCAGGAAGCCTTCCTGGATGCCGCTAACTGCATGACACCCCCACCTCTTGCCGCACTGTGGTTAGCCTCAGTTGCCTTCAGCCCCGGTGCCCAGTCCCCAGTGTATGCTCAGCCTGTGCGCTGGGCCAAGCCCCATGAGGGCAGGGATTCCTGCTAATTTCTCTTCCCCTAGAATTTGGTGTGGGGCCTGGCACACAGCAGAGGTTCTGTGTCTCTGGAGCCCAGCCCCAGGCCCTCAGGAAGCTGCCAGGCTCAAGGACAGCACCACCAAAGAGCAATGTGACCCAGCAGAACCGCCATACCAGAGACATTTGACATGTGAAGTCCTTAATGGTCCCACTGAGGAAGATGTCCTTGGGCAACACAGCCGGGAAGGGCCAGGGCTGCTCCTCCGGGACGCAGATGTCCAGAGGTGCCAGCAGCATCTGTTTTCACCAATCAGGCCTGAAGTCACAGGTGGTGGAGGGTCTGAATGTCACCCTGCCTCAGGCCACAGGCTCATCCAAACAGCAGTACAGGGAACCCTAAAGCGTGCCCCCTTGTGGCTGGTGATTCCAACATGCCACTCAGACCACCTGTGGCTGCCCATCCTGCCTTAGACAAAGCTCCGCTTTCCCCATTCTCTGAATGAGGCTGCCTCTGTTCACCTTGTTCACCTGGAGAAGCCATGATCACCATCCCTGGGTTCAAGTCTTCAGCTCCTATTAAGTGGAGCTGAGAAATGATTTCCCCCAAGGCCCAGAGGAAGCTGCCACAGGCTGTAAGTTCTAGACTCCAGGGTTCCAGGCCACAGATCGGAGGCCAATCCATGAACACAAAGAAGCATTCAGCTGGCAAGCGTCTGCATAGCTCTGTGGCCATCCCAGATAGCCAGTGAGAGTGACTTTTAAAAATTTTTATGTGCTTTTCTCTTTGCCTCCAGAAATACCAAACCCTTGTCCCAGGTGGCCTTGGAATCACTTCCTGGCTGGGAGGACACACTTTCTTGCATGGTTATGCAGAGATTTTTAGCTTCTGATGTGTACAGCCAGATTCTGCCGCAGGGCTGCACCTTGCTAGCCACAGTTCCCCTGAGAAAGCCCTTCTGGATTCCATCTCTTAAGGTCCCAGGCCTGGGGGAGCAACAGGAATGCCAAACACAGGCCTGCCCAGAGCTGGTGTGAATGAGGCCAAGGGGGGCCTGAAAACGGGGGCCGCCCAGTGTGCCCCACCTGCTTTCTTTCCCTTCCCTGCACCCAAGAAGGGGGAATGCTGAGGGCAACTGGAAAGGAAGACCCTGGAAAGGGCCTCTGCATGCCCACCACACTTCTGACACCAAATATGCAGATTTTTTTTCACACCAAGCAAGTCTCCAGTTGTTAGTGGACAGCGACTAGAATGTCCTCTGATGGAACCCAGTGCTGGCCCATCTGCCAGGAGTTAATGCAGACCCTGCTGGTTAAGGCTTATCCCACAGCACTGGCCCACTGCAGACACCAATCTTAACAGGAGCCGTGGGAAGCAACAAGTCCCCATGGTGAGGGTGCGTGTGATACTGAGGCCTTCACACTGAGCTGCACCCTAGCCCTTTTTAACTTTTTATTTTGAGAGTCTCATTAAGTTGCTCAGGCTGGGCTTGATCTTGCAATCTTCCTGCCTCCATCTCCCAGAGTGCTGGGATTCAAGGCAAATACATACTTCCTATAACTCAGGAGCATAGAAACTCACAAATACAATATGGTGAGGGGCTTTGAAAAGCACCATCAACGGGCCACTATTTTATCCCATGAGGCTAGAGTCAGACCAACCAGACACCAGCTGATGGGGTCACGGCAAACACTTGGGGCAGCATGAGCAGGTGGAACCCAGGTCTGGCCAAGTCACCCAGGCCCCGAGAGTCACAGGCCCAGGATACACACTATTCCCAGGAGGGAGGTCAGGAGGATGTGCAGACAGCCACCAAGTGAAGGACAGTATGCATCCCTGGGCCCCAGCCTGAAGCTGGAAACCCCGCCCAGTGCCACAGGAGAGATGACACTCAAGAAGCTAAGAGCTGAGCTGTCCCAGCCTGACCTGGGTACAGGGATGGGGCTTATTCCCAGAGAGGGCTCTGCTTTCTAAGGGGCTGATGGCACCCTCCCCTACCCTGGGGACTTGTACCTTCCCACAGCATGCAGGCGCCGGTCGGTGGCATGCCAGGCATCTCCTGCAAACAGCTGGCACCCAAGAGGCCTGCATGTGCACCCTTCAGCATTCCACATGCTCCCGTGCTCACCACTCGGCAGAGCCCCCTCCCCGGCACCCCTCTCAGGGTAGGGAAACCAGGCTTTGTTCCCTGGCTCTCAGGCACGGTCAGTGCTAGATCCTCCTTAGCCGTGGGCAGGATGCACATGCATGGTCTGCCCACTCCTCTCACCCTTGTCTTGACTAGTGGAAGGCAGACCAGCTAAGGGAGCAGGGTTTCCTAAGAGACCGGTGTGCTAGATGAACAAGCTTCTCACCGAAGGGTGATGCCCAGCTAGACTCGATTCAGCCACGCTATCTCGGCCTCCCCTCATTTAGACACTCCTAGGTTAGCACTCTTGCCACAGGGTCCCTGTTCTTAACGCTTGTCCATATATGCAAGTATTTCTGGAGGGCAGTGGTTCGAGGCTGGGGGGATTTTGCTCCTCCGCGGGCTCCTTGGTAGAAACCCAGTGGGCAGAGGCCAGGCATGTGGCTAAACATCCCACACTGCACAGGACAGCCCCTGAACCAAGCATTATCTACCCCAAAACGCCCACAGCTGAGCTTGAGAAAGCCGTCTGCAGGTCAGTACTGAGAGGGCTCAGCCTGCCCTGATGCCAGTGCAAATCTAAATCCTTCTGAACCGTCTCCCAGCCCACAAAGCAGCTGTAACAATTCATGTTCCCATGACAGTCAGTGCCATCAAGCCTGCATCTACCAAAGTCAAGGATAAAAAATGCTGACTTCTGACACTGGTGCTTCCCTGCTTCCTGTGTTTGGATTTCTCCTCTGAGATGAATTCTTAACCTTCGCCCATTTTTCTTTCTTTGGAGAAGCCCAGGAGTCCTCTGTGTACTCTGCATTCTAGTGCTCACACAGAGTTCAAATGTCTTGTTGTACAGAAAATGCTTCATTGGAAAAGATCATTGGCTTACACTGTTTCTTTCTCTGGCTTGTGTGGGGGTTTTCCTAACCCGAGATAGTGATTGTATTTCCCTGGCCTTTCTCTAAATGCTTTCACAGGTTCATTTTGCAAGGTTAAGGTTCCCACCCATTGGCGAGTACTTCCTGTGTACGGGGTGAGGGAGGGGATCGCTTTTCTTCTACCACCGTATCGTTCCCTGACCTCTTCCTTCTGGTTCAGCAGCAGAAGCTGCTCAGCACCATGGCTGCGACTCCTCCATGCTTACACAAGAACCCTGCTCCTTCTGTCATCCTGTCTCTAGCACACAGGGACACCTTCTCCCTGTCCTGCATTTCTGCATCTCCCGAGACGACACACTGTCACCCTGTCTATGGTTGACAGCTCCCCCTCACTCAACGTTCTCCAGGGACCATCTCAACCTCTTCACTTTGTCTCAGCAAAGCTCCACCCAGCCTCCTTCTCTGTACCTTCAGTGAGTCCCCGGGCTGCTGAAACTGCCCGATCACCATTCCCTCCCAGAACAGAAAAGTGCAGAATGATCGCTGAGGTGTTACCATGATCTCTTTCTTCACAGACCCCATGTAAAGACAGGCTCCAACTCCGCACGCAGATTGACAAGGAATGATACAGTTTAATGAACCAGGACTGGGAGGTCACCTTGGTCGGCCAGCGTCACTTCCAGGAGCTGAAGGCCTAAGCAAGCGGGAGAGGCCTGCCAGGTCCTCCCCATACCCCGCCCCCAGTGTGCACGCGGGCTGCTGGTACAGAAGACAGATTTCCCAGCCCCGGATCTGCTTCCAGCCAGTGCCAACAGCACCAAGGCCCACAGGGCAGGAGGTCTCCGTGCAGACCTGCTCCCCTGTGGCTATCTAATAGGCCGAGCCACTCACTACCTGAAGCACAGTGGAGCCTGTGGCATATCTCCGGCCCTGGGCTGCACCGGGGGGCTCAAGGATCTGGCTGAGCGCAGGACAAGGCGGGCATGGGGAGGAAGGGACCTGGGAAGTGGCATCTGGAAGGTAGAGGGCCACAGCTTGCAGCCAGCAAGGGAGACAGCCCAGGGCACAGACAGGGACCACGGCCAGCCCCATGAGCACAGATCCGGGCAGGCGGGAAGGGACTGCCACTGAAGCAAGAGGGAGGTCAGAGGGTGCGGAGTGGGTGGACAAACAGAGCAGGTACACAGAGGTCTTCGCTGAGGGTGCCCCAGGGTAAGAGGCAGCGGGGTAAGCAAGACCTGGGAGAGGAAAGGGAGGCATCAGTGAATCACAGGGAAGTGCATGTCCCATCCACCCCATCTCCAGCCCCTCTGATGCACCAGGTCCATGCCGACCAGCTCAAACTGAAGGAGAAGCCCTCTGTAGAGCAGAGGTGGCCCTCAAAGCCCACTGCCACACAGTACCCTAGTGACATGGTCAGACTGGGGAGCCAAGATCACTGGGACTGAGCTATTGCGAGGCTCTGTGGTCTCAGAAATCATTCCAACCCCACAGCCTCAGTGTTCTCATCTGTAAAATGGAACATTAATGTGTACACTCACAGGATTCCTTCAAGGATGAAGTGATGACTATTACTCAGTGAGCTCCCATGCTTATGTTGGGGGACTGCCCACAGCAGACAGTCACATCCAAGGAGGAGAGATGGGATCAACTGTGAGGGGAGGAGACCAGCTGTCTCTGTGTAAAGAGGAGGTGGGTCTTTCTTTGGGCTCTTGTCTGATTTCCCATTGTGCAGCACGGTCCCTGACATACCAGCCCTGTCAGCCGCTGCCCACTGTCAGATACTCCACTCCGGTAGCCATTTTAGGATCAGCTGGTCCATGCTGAAGATCTGTGTGTCAGGAAGCAGCCATCAGAATCCCTCCAGGCAGCTGGAGGCAGCAGGTAAGGGCAAGAGGCAGATGGGAACCCAGGTTCCCCAGGTTCCACAGCCCAGGGAAGGCAACCCTCCACTTGCTGTCCAATTCTGCAAGCGTGCCCATACACATACACACACACACACCCCTGCAGGTCTCCCACTGGAGGTGGACTTTTTGAAGAAAGGAGAGACAAGAATCCACGGGGCGGGTGCAAAACAGGGAGCGAAGACCAGGGCAGTCATTATTTTTCACTCACCACTCTCACCTACAGCCCCCACACACTTGCCTGGCTATGCTCCACTATTTCCCAGCGTCTGAAATCCTCTGCCAGGTACCATCTCTCCTGGTCAAGCCGCCATAAGATAGGCAGCTTGGGGAAGGAGTCATCGTGGGAGAATGGGGACCTCACGGGTCCCACTGACATCTTCCTTAAGTAGATTTTGAGGCCTTTCAGAACCTAAAGGGGCCAGAGAAGAGAGGCGTATCAGGACCCTGCCCACTGGGCTGTGCGCAGGCCACGTCTTAGGCTGCCCCACCCAGGTGGCAGCCAGCAGTACCTGATTCCAGAATCCCAGACCGAGTACCTGGCACTGTCACCCAGGGCGTCTGGA